TCAGAACACAGTAAACTCTTCAGGATTTGGTGATAATGTTCAGTGATCAAATCTAGCCTTCTAAAACAAGAAACTGAGAGGTACAGCAATATGAAACAGCCAGACCTCCCTCATGAAGTGTAAGAGAAAACAAGAGCGAACAAAAAAATACCAAGAAATTGCTCTTGGCTACTCTTGATGCCTATTCTTTTTTTCTTTAAAAGGAAGCATGCACGCAGAAACCATAAAAACCTACCCAGAAAGAATAAGAAACAGTTAATCAAGGTTATGCAACAAAGTTATAAATCCTCATGTAAGTAAAATTTACTCCCTGTCCAAACAAATGAGAGAATGGCTGACATGCCGCTTATTGATATCCCAATACTGATATTCATCTGCATCAAAATTAAGATGGAAGTAATGACAAAAGCACTCCTTATTTATTTCTATGTTTTATTTAGGAAGATTTTGCTCTTCACTTGAAGGACTTGAACTCCACCATACCTGTCACTGTAGACAGACCGCTCAAAGAACACCACAGGATTCTCTGCCTCTCTGAGTTTGCCATCAATGGATTTGAGCTGAGCCCGAATCCTGCTGAGACACGCGTACATCTGGAAAGTGAAAGACCACCTCTCTGGTTTCTCATACATCATCTGAAGCACATTTCCACCACTCTTCTGAGATGTAGTCAGTTCCTGTTTTTGAACAAATATATTGACCCTTTCAAAGTTGGGAAAGTACAATATTAAGCTAAAATAGAACTGCTCTACTAGCTCTAACCCCATCCAGCCAGCCTCTATTCCAAGTTTATAATTGCACCATTTACCTTTCAGCCCTGTTTATACCCAGTGCATAAGTAGCAGTAATGTTACTTCTCTTACTGCATCCAATTGAACACTACAAAAACTACAGTTACAATGCTCAAGAACAAGAAACCACAACAAAAAACTCACCAACACTTTGATCACTATTTAAAAACTTAATTAAGAACAACATACCAGTACAAAAATCAGTAACATTGTGAAAAAATCCACCTTGCTTTCACTCTGACAAGCATAATTTTGAAGCTGAGCTATTTTTGTTTTCCTTTGTGTTACAGTTCAGTAATTACACTACAGTTATGATTGGTAACAGCTGCTGATGCAGAATTTTCAGATGTTCCCACCATACCTGGGAGGTTTAGAACAGACTCCAGGGCAAAGCCCACAGAATGCTACTCAAACACCTTGCGGCAGCCACTCGCTCATCGAAACCAAAAGCTGTGTACTTCAGCTTTACTAAAAAACACAGCCTATCAAAGACAATTGCTTCTGACTGAATTTTTTTTGTTACATTATCTCTAGATGTTTGAAAATATTGAAATATTTGGACTTGGTGTCAGAGGTCAAATCTCAAGCGATAGCAGGTAAATTCAACAATTCCAGGCTTTATCCTCCTCTCTAATTTCCTGTGACTGACCTACCCAAGTATACTAAACATGCCCAGCATTACACTCTGACACTGAGGCCAGGTGACAGTCACTATCAGTATCAACTGCACTAAAACTTTCTAAGCCTCCAAAAGGAGCTACCTATGCAGTGCAGCCCCCAGACTATCCTACTACCTGAATTGCCCAAGCACTACTTCTCACACAAAGAGTGGTGAAGCACTGGAACAGGTTGCCCAAGGAGGTTGTGGATGCCCCATCCCTGGGCATTCAAGGCCAGGCTGGATGTGACTCTGGGCAGCCTGGTCTGGTGGTTGGCATCCCTGCACATAGCAGGGGGTTGAAACTAGATGATCATTGTGGTCCTTTTCAATCCAGAAGACGACCTATCTTCATGGGGCTGAAGTCTGCTCAGGACAACGGTCTGGTTTTGCTACCCATGGTATGTCCCTGCACTCTAACCAACCAGACTAGCTGTAGCTACAGAATCCTTTCACAAGTCACAAGGCCCTTACCTGTCAATTGTGCCAGTGAGAATTTACAGACCTACGCTCTGGAAAAGATTTCAATGTCCTTGGAAAATATGTATTTGAAAGTGCAGAATTAAGTCATCTGTACTTTGAGTCTCAATGTAGTTTTTCTTAAAAACTAACAGTTACAAAATCAATAAAATACCTTTCTTAAAAAAACACTGCGAAGATGAACTTGCCAGCTTGGAGCTTTTTTGGGGACAATGAAAAGACAACAAACTTTAATAAAGACAGAGAAGTGAAAACATACTTTCTGATATGAAACTATTTAAAGAGAAAAAACCAAGATCCTAAACACTGATTATTATTTTCAGATAGGCAAAGGAAAAAGGAGGAAGAAAACAACAAAAAGCACCAAAAAAAGCCTATTGTTCCTACCAGACATTTGTCTTCCTAGGAGCATAACTGGTGTTCAGCACTGTGTTGTTCTGCTACTGCATGACTGTGTACTGCATGACAGCTGTATCATTGTGTTATACAGCTGCTATTGCACGAATTAGATAGTGAGGAGAACGTTACAAACTACTGACAACACACAAGACCAAAAGCTACCTACAGATGTATGCACAAATAGCTTAACACACCTTCTTTTTTTTCCTTCTTAAAGTATTTAAAAGTATTTCCTGACTAATTTTAGAAGTCATATATATAGTGCAGTGTTTCTTTAAACCAGCCAAATTATATTATTAAGGGGTCTTTATCCTGACCCATGAGTTCACTTGCTTTGATTCCTCCTACTCCTCTGCTTCCCTAATAGAGTGCTACTGGTTGGTGCAGGTTCTTAACTGCTGGCTGAGGGCAATGAAGAAAATATAACACACCTGAGAACCCAACCTATTACAGAAGCTTGCTGGCTTAGTTCTTAAATGAACGTTTTGGGTTTGGATTCACTTTATTGAACAAGAACAAACAAGAGAAAATGTTTAACTCTGAAAGAATATAGGGGAAGTATGAAACAACAGGCCTTCATTAAAAGGCTACATTTAATTAACCAAAATATATTCTAATTCTTGACCAAAGGAAAAAAAAAACCCAAACATTATTTCCTAGGTGTTTTCAAGGATATCTTTTGGACTTATTCTCACCTGGTTTGTTCACAGATGCTAAAGGTACCTCCTACATAATTTTTTTTATCCCTTGCTTTTGCATGTAAAAGATAATAGGCTTTTATCACCTAATGCTGAATGTCATTTATCTCACAATATATCAGCTGAAGTAGAAGATCTAACAACGAACCAACTGAAGATCAAAACCTTAACTCACCTAAATCAACATGGAGAACTACAAAGATAACCCAGACAATACAAAAATAATCCATGAAGATGTTACTACACATGCTTTCCAAAATTCCCATTCTTTTGGAATATCACTATGTTTGATGTTAGAAGAACGTTAAACTGGCTTTTAAGAGAAAGTTTCACTTCACACTTTTACCATACCTCATAATCCTCTTCAGAGTTTTGTTGAACATTGCACCATCTAGCTACAGGCTCAGGAACAACTTCCCATCCCTCATCAGCCTGTTTGAGAATATTCACAAATGTTGATTTTCCAGCAGCTGTAGAAAAAAGCATTCCACAAGAATAGCATCAGGAAATATTGATATGATTATCCTTTAGCAACTAGACAACTATTTCCAGGTACCAAAAATGAGTGTCTCACACCCACACATTTACATTTGACTTCATAATAAGCATGATTCAGAGACCGTCACAAATCATCAAGGAATTGAAACTTTTTCCCTTTACTTTTTCTTTTTTTTTAAATTTTTTTAGCAGCTGTATCAAATAGGTAATGACTGGTATATTAATTGCTTAGGGAGCTTACAAAAGAAGAGGGAAAAAAGCCTTTTACACTTGCAGCCAGCGATAGGACACAGAGGAATGGCTTTAAACTTTTTAAGAGGGCCTTTGGATTAGATATGCAGAAGAAACTCTTTACTCAGAGGGCAGCAAAGCACTGCACAGCCCAGGGAGGCTGCGGGTGCCCCATCCCTGGAGGCACTCAGGGCCGGGCAGGATGGGGCACAAGTGAACCTGATCCACAGCTGGGAGCTGGAACTGGGTGGGCTTTTAGGTCCCTTCCAAACTAAGCCATTTTATGGCCCTATGAGTCTATGATCACAGAACGCAGAGCCATCAAGGCTGGAAAACCTCCATCTAGTCCAATCGTCCACCTACCACCGATATTTCCCCTCTAAGCCGTGCCCTAGCGAGACCTTGGCGTGATCTAGAAAGCTACATTCCCTCGGCGGTCTGCTCCCAGGCCAGAAGATGTTGTAGGCGGTATTTTAAGCCCCCCCAAACAAAGCAGAAGGGCACCTTTCCAAACGGGAGATGCAGCACAGACGCGGTTAGCCCTCCGCCCACTGAAGAAAGGCTCCGGGAGCTCTCGGTGGAGATGCTCGGAGCCGGGAGGCCGCCCTCCCTGCCGCCCACAGCCGGCTCACAATCCCTCGGCCTCTCCGGCCCCCCATAACTCTTAGGGCGGCAGCCTTGCGTTTCCCGCCTTATTTCCCGCCCCGCTCCCGCGATGCCGCTCACTCACGCGGCTCCCATCTCCCGGCCTGACAGCGAACCTCTCCTACGGGTAAATCCCGGCCCGGCAAACGCCGCAGAGGCGCCGCGTCGGCGGGAGGAGCCCCTCCGGGAGCCGCCGCCTCCCCACGCCCCCCGGCCCCGACTCACCGATGTTGCCCTCGACGGCGATCTTCTTAACCCTGCCCTCCAGCCGCCCGCGCTTGGGGGGAGTCGCCATGGAGCCGAGTGCAGAGGCGCGCGCCGCGCTCGCTCCAGCCGCTAACGGACGCAACGGAAATAACCGTCGCCCCTTCCGCCGCCGCGCTCGCGCCAGGCCCGCGCCCGCGTTCAAATTTGCCGCGCGCCCGCTCGGCCCCGCCGCTGAGGGTCCGTGACGTCACGGCGGCGCCTACGAGCGGCCGCGAGGGCCACGGGGAGCGGGCGGACGCGGCTCGGCCCGGCGCTGCGTTGCCGCGGCTCGCGGCGAAGGGAGGGGGAGGAGGCGCGGGCCGCGAGAGAAGGAGAGGCCGAGGGGAGGCGTGGTCAAACACAGCTATTTATTGTCTCTTATAAACAGCCTTCAGCTCTTGTTGAAAAAACCTAGAATTTAAATATTTTGTCCCGTCACGTACTACTATCAGTATACATTATTTACAACTCTCGGACACGGTGCGGATTTTCAGACATTCCGTTGTTGTTACTGTACATCACAAGCCGTTCTCGCTTAACACCGAAATGCCGAGCGGTGCCGGGGAACGGAACATCGGCGCAGCGAGCGGACAGTAAGGGCTCTGCTCTCACATCCCCCATTTTGCACCGTCTTTGCTCCCGGACGTTGAAAGACTGTAAACGAGGAGGCTGCGTTAGCGTTGCTTCTGCGCTATTTTGTTTTTCTCCTTCAGAAATGGCCTTCTGTTGAAACCTCACTCTTCCCGCATTCCCCTCTCCCCACGCAGAGGGACGCCGAGCCGGGCGGCGCTGCTCAGACGGCAGAAGCTGGCAGCTTACAAATTAACGAGCTTAGTTTAGTGGCTATAAGAATTAATTTCCCCTAAAAATACTCTAGGAACGATTCAGGGAATTTGTTTCTAAAGCAAAAGCAATCCGATGTTCACCTAGACTGCAATCTTAACCTGGCTATAAGGAAGCGGAAAGAAAAGCAGGACAGTGCGAAGGCCCAGCACTTACACCGACAAATGTTAGTCTCTTATTGCGAGGTGAGACACCCAGGAAAAGAGGGCAGGCAATCATCAAACTGCTCGTGGCTTCACTAGCGCACTAGTAAAGGAAAAATCAAATAGCAATGAAAGGAAACAAGATTCAGAGTGAAGTGATTCTCAGTGAAAGAAAAGCAAGGAGTCTGCATTCACACTGCACTTTTTAAAACAGTTCAACTAAAAAGGGGGTTATAGACAGCCATAGAGCACTCTGGCAGGTAGGAACGGGAGAGAGGCTGGTAAGAAAAAGAGTTACCCAAAAACATATGTGTTCGGAGTAAAATTATGTCACGTGGTTCAAGAGAACAGGGAGGTGAGAAACAGAAAGGAACAATCTCAAAGGTACATAAAGTCCATAGCAGCAAATAGGTATCCTTTACCTGTTAAAGGAGCATCAGGGAGGCTGGAGCGCTCAGTCCTATATACTGAGTAAGGACAGCGCTCCTTTCTATCTGGAAGTAAAAGCTAAAATTCAAAGCTCCACATTGCATAGTAAGCAGTTAAAGAAAATTAGTACTTGCAGACGGGCTGTCAGCCCTTTGAAACCTGTTTTCTCCTCTCAGCTACCTGCAACAGCAAAATGTGGCATTTTTAAAATTGCAATTAAAAATCAGCTTGCATCTCTGACTTGAATGTAAAAGACACAAGCACAACATACCCAACACCATCTCAACGGCGTCAACATTGGCAACAGTGACCGAATGTGATCAACTTCACAGTTTGTCCCATCCTGTCTAGAGGTAGATGACCTCCTGAAGTTACCATCAGAATCACTGACATGTTCAGCATGCTGGTAGCTGACAAACACCCCAACCAGAGTTTAAGGACATCACTGACTGGAAGGCCTCGGCAAGCACTGGCAGCCCATCAACACCTTCTGCTCCCAGTGACAATGAAGCAGGGAGGTTTTGTTTCAAAGCGCTCGTGACACGTAACAGAATCCACCTGTAACATGGGCCTAAAGCAGCAGATTTTCTTCAGGGTTCATTTCTCTGGGTTTTATATGGGAGTGAGGTGTCCTCCCCCCAAACAATGCACTGTTTTATAAACACATTCAATCTATTCAGATTCAGCTTGTAAAACATGACTTTTGCGTAGCATTTTGATGTGCCCTTGCATCAAAAGTGTAAACACACATGAACTTCTGGTCCCACAACTTTTTGAAGAAAACAAAACAAAAATAAAAATAAAAGCTGCAAATATAAACAGCATAGGGATGCTGAATCCCAAATACTGCACACATATCATTAATGTTGTTGTTTTCAAGCGTTGTATAATTAAACAGTGTGTTCATACTGCTGTCAGACAAATCAAGATCTCCAAGCTTTTATTACACACCTAGAAACTGTTCTGTAAAACTGCTTTTACTGGCAGATACTAAATACAAAAAGATACACCATCCCTTTAAGACTAATACCTTTTATAATACATTCAAATTCTTATTCAGTGAACTGCAGCAGAAGCCTCTGAATTTATAGAATTGGAAGCTTTAAAAAAAAAAAAAAAAAAAAAAAAAAAGGAAGAAAAAAAAATGCTCCTGAGTGGAAAATTAGGTGAGCAATTGCAGTGGCATCAATCACAGCAAATGCTCACTTCTAAGTATTCTTTTTTCAACACAGAAACTGGTAAGACAGCTTTAAATCTGATGGAGAATATCTCTTGTTTAACACCTTGGTGCAGACTTGTACCACTCTCCGGTCTCACTGCAATGTGATAACAGGGGCTCTGGCGCTGGCTGAAAGGCTCCAAGAAGCGTTATCAGCTCAGAGAATGCACACATGCAGCCCGTGAGCAGCACTGAATCAACTCAGCAAAGAGTTTTCACTGGCAATTTTATCAAACTTTTACTATCAAACTGCATCTGCAGCACCCTTCACGCTTCTGTAGCTGGATGCCGATCTCCCTCTCAAGCTTGAAAGTTTCAGTCATTAAACACTTCTCAGATAGAAGTATGCATAAAAGGCTGCGTGTGCAAGATGTTCTGAATTCAGCTTCCTGCGTGACTGAAGTCCATTTAAAAAAAGCACACTTTAAATTTAGGAGCTAAGCTGCTTTTACATTGTCAGGAGGATGCTCTCCACCTCCATAATTGCAATGATGTCAGTCTTTTGTGTTATTCATTCCCGAGCTAACAGAGCCCTCCAGTCCTCCACCCAGAGCTAGCCACAGCTCCCCAGTCAGGCTCACGGTCACATCATGCCACTATCTTACTCAGTTACAAACAAGTTTGCAGCTGAAAAGATGTCATGAATGACGCACACCGTCCCCATAAGTATCGCATTCCCAGCTGCCACACAGCACCAAAAAAAAAAAAAAAAAAAGTAATAAATGGGCAAAGGACTCTTCCTGCAACTTTCCAACACATGGGAGATTTCTTGCTCACGGGAGCTCCTTCTTTCTTAGCAGCATGTTGTTCATCTCCTGACAGCAGCATTTAGATGTTAGACCACCAACTGAGTCTTCTACTGGCCAACAAAATTTCATGGGGCTGTCTACCCGATCAGTATGTCTTATGAACAGCAAATCTGACAAAAGCATTGAGGTGAATACTGCAGCTGTAAGCGGCTTGCCCAAGTAAAAGGAAATGGTGTTCGTACCTCTTGTTTGCTTTTGCCTTCAGTTGTCTTGTACCCCCACAGTTCTTTTTCTATCACCCAACTTGCTGAAGAGTTATCAGATCCTAGGCACCTCTCTTCTTTATCTCCCAGGTATATGTGTACACATGGGAGAGTCAAAATTGTCACTGGCTGAGAAGGGGTAAGACCTTACTCTTTTCAAACTTGGAATTTGTCAAAATATTTGAGGGAAAACTCTCTTTGCATCAACAGCCTGACCCACCTTATTCTTCCAGTGTGGACTGTGATCAATCCAATCCAATGCCAACTCTCAGCATAAAGAAAAATCATGCAATTTCCTTTGATAGTCACACAATTAGGAAAATATCTTCATCCTGTGTGACATAAGAAGCTGAAACAGAGTAAATACAATTTTCTTGTGTCTTTAACTTACAAGCAGCTTCTATTGGACAATGATGTTGTCCTGCAGAGGTGCCAAAATATAGTCTATGTTTTTTGAACTTCAATGAAGCTTCTAATGAAGCCAAGTACTATCTGAATTACATAGGCTAAACTGCAGCTATTTGCAAGCAGTTACTGTACCTAACATATACTGTAACCAAACCTAAACTCACATGAACACTACTGCATGACTACTCTTCACCACTCTTCAAGAAGACAGCTTGTTTTCATTACTAAATGAAAAGCTGTGAAATGAGCACACAAGGCCATTCTCTATTTCAGACTAGGTCGTCTTAACTGTTCTTAAGCTGAAAACAGGTGAGAAGGGAAAGAAAAAAAAAGAGACAGAAGTTACAGAAGTTTAAACTGATTTTCATTCTGACTAGGAAATGCAACTCCATTGAAGAATAACATTGTTCTTATAATAAGTTATAGATGATTCTGAAATATATTATTTAAACTTAAAAATAATGATTCTAGTCACTAAAATGAACATATATTTGTTATTGTGCTTAAATATTTCTTAGCTGGCTATATTAATGGCCACTGATATATTTTGCAGGCTTGTGTTTTCAGTCTAGCAGAGGTACCCAAAGCATACGCGCAACTTCTCTGCCATACACCATACAGCTTGGCTTCAGCTGTACATTTTTTAGTTTTAAGAGTTACTTGGGTCATATACACAGCTCAATTGATGCATTCACATTACTAAGGTCCAGAAAAGGTGCTGTAGCAGTCTCAGTCTAGCCAAGCCTGGCAGTGTTAATCATCTAGTGCATTATGTTTGGCAACTAGTGATATCATGGGATAGCATACTGCAGAACCTAATGCAGATTTCTTTGTATCCTAAATACAACAGCTTTGACAAGGCCCATAAATGAACAACAGACATCTGGGCAATGCGAAACCAGACACTGATGTAGTTGCAGCAAAGATTTCAAAGCCACTGTCTGTGGATCATTCCAGAAGTTAACTTGCCACAAGTCATTCTTGTGTCTGGTTTGAGACAACAGAAGGACAGGAAGGCAGAGAGACTAACACAGGTGTGGGAAGGAGACATTTTGGTTCTGTTCTCTCAGGAATGAAAGATGCACTTGCCAAATCATAAACCACTGATATGTTCCAATTACTTTTCCAAAATTCCGTAGTTCTTTGGAGACAAGTAACAATTTTAAGTGGGGAAGAACACCACTGTGCTAACCTTAATCCTAAATGATCCACAAAATTATTTTCCCTTCAAGATACATTCCCTACTGTAGAAAACACTGATCATCAGAGTTCCTTCACAGAGCTGGGCTTTTTATTTCTAACTTAGGAACATCACCTCATGAGTTATTTTTCAAAGCAGAGTTTTCTTAGTACTACTCCAGTGTACTTTTGATAGTAACTACCTTCCCTAACTGTAGCTGTGCAAACTGACAATTCATTTGGCAAATACTTGGAAATCGAATGGAGGTGCCTGACTTGAGGTGCTATTTTATTCACATGTTCAAAACATAAGAGCAACTATGAAAAGCAAAAACCAGTGCAACAGACATTAACTATTTGCTAACCACAGGTTCTCTATAATTTTGACACCACCTTCTTCATTCTGATTTGGTGACTAGAACTTCATTGTCACTTTTTGTTATAAGAAATATCTAGCTTTGAAAAAATCTATATTAATCTCTCTAAAAAAATAAGACAAATATTTGTATTAAAAGCTGGAGATCATCGATTTAAGTAAGTTATGGCTTTTTTTACTGTAAGTATTTATATATATATGTATATATATATATATATATATTTTATTTTTTTTTTTCCTAAAACAAGTATCAGTAAGTATCCTGGATGTTAGTTCATATTTTCTGTTTCCAGCAATGTTCAGTATTGTATGTGCTTTGCACCTCAGAAGTGAGTCTGCCAAGGCACTTAGAGAATATAAGGAAGTCTTCCAGGGACTTCATTAGAATGGGCTACCATTGACACAATACAGAACCCATCCACCAGCAGAGTCAAACCCCCAGCCAAGCATGTTTCCTTTACAAACACTCAGCACCTGCTAAAATTCCACAATGAATAACTATCAAAAAAAAAAGCTATTTACTGCATGTCACTAACAGACAAAAGATTTCCCCTAATAAAAGCACAGAGAGTAGATCTTGGCTGTTAGGAATAACAGCACAGGTTTTTCTTTTGTTTTTAAAAAACAAATGAACAACAGCAAAAAAAAAAAAAAAAAAAAAACCAAACATATACCACACGCTTGCTTAAAGAAACAAGTGACTTAAAAAATCCTCTTCCTTTTATCTGTCCTTAGAGGTGAGTTTTTCAATCAGTTCTTGAAGTGGTGCAAGCTCTCTTCTGTCAATAAGGTTGAATTCCTGTAATAGGGTTGAGGAAAAAGACAAACATACAGTTTTAATTGTGTAGCTCAAGAAAGAAGTGTGATCCAGACAGAATTCATTTCACAGGCTCTTCATGATCAGGCCTTGCCACTGCAGCATCTTCTGTCTACTTGTTATTATCTCCATAGCACGGTTTAACTGCCTAAAGCTTTTTCTTTTACTCCATTTAAGCGGAGCAAACATGCTAAGAAGCTGCCCTTGGCTGAGCAACCAACAAAGGGAGAAAAATGTAATTTTGTAGCAAGAATGCTCTCTTCAGTCTTCAATCAATAGTTTCAAAGACTGTCCTCCCTCTTTCTTCTATAAGGAATTATTGTTCTACTTAATTATTTGATAGTGAATACTTTATGGTATTCACTTTGGTAGCAAATGAGCACTTCACTCTGAAAACCTTTCAATTCCTCGAATACTTCCAGCATTAAATATACATACAAATATAATGAGACATTTAGAGCCTTACAGGTATCTACTCTATAAACATACCAGCTGTTAAGAAAAAGAATGAGTGTTACTTTGGTAAATTATTTTTCCGTTTTATTATAACTGTGACTATAATGTTCCTGCCACGCTTACCTGAACAAAAAATATAAAGTGCTTGAAGGATGTGTTAAGATGTGCCTCCTCCTGTAGCTGAATCACTGGATCAAAGTGCTGGTGATAAATGTGAGCATAAACTCGGAAGAGGCGCTTTAAAATCGTCTTTGCCACTGACATGAAATTCTTTGGGAACGGTACACCTAGAAATAAGGAAACAGATGAGTTACTTTTAAACGCCTGCGCCACGTTCATTTATTTTGAAAGCTGCTATAACCCAACCTGATTTCTTGGGTCCAACTGTATCTTTCACTGAGTGTTACATTTCACTCAGCAATTCTGTCTGTAAACTACATGATGTACTTGGGCTGACACACAATGACAAGTTCGTTAGAAGACCACAGGGAGATGATATTTTTCTCCCTCTTGTGATCCAGTGGCTTATGAACTCATACAAAACAAACTGGACTACATTTCTACACTGAACCCACCTAGCTACAGCTTCCAGATACTACATCTTCTCACGTATCAGGATAGTTCCTTGGAGAACTTTCTCAGACTGAGCATCTCCTTGCTGTGTGGATGGATTCAGATGCTTAAACAGAGGCATATAATACAAACATGTAAGCCTTCTCAGCACCTGCTGGCCTCTGACTGCCAGTGCAGATAAGTGGAAGTCTCCTGCAGGCTCTGAGTCTCACTGAAGGCCCTATGCAAGTGTCAGAGATAACACAGGATACCTTTAAGTGACACCAGATGACTTTGTGTAGGTAGCCGAAACTCCCTTTTAGTATTAGCAATTTGTTGTTTTTCAGTTCTCTTTGCTAGAGCGAAGTAAGAAAAAATGCTCTCTTGCAGCTTCATGAACAGAAGCTGTACTAATATTGAACACATATTGGAACATTCATAAAATGCTCTCTTATGTGCCTCATGAAGAGACCATTTCCATCTCCTTACCATCTCCATTACCACCTCTTAGCCTGAAGCTACTGCTTTCTTTCCTGTTGCTGAGTAATTCTGACACAAGCTCTTTTCAGTCATTTCAGTGAAAATGACATAGGACATGTAAAATCAGCTTCAACAGTAGCTCTTCATCATTGTACACGTCACTGGGAGCAATAACCTATTTAGCCAACACATTCACATACTAAAAAAAGACATTTATCAACCACCTAAGTAGATTAAGCCTGACTAACTTCTCATCACATAACAGATTTGCCAGTCAGCTTAGTTCTTCTGGAGTCTTTCCAATTTGTGAAGTCCTGTGTGAAGGCCAGAAGCCAAAGCTGTATGCTGGTAGTTAATCATGATCTCAAAAATGCTTTCAAATACTGAAAATACAATTTCCATGCTCTATTAAAGCTTGTCCTGCTTATATATACACATCACATTTCCAACACTGGCCACAGCATCACATGGAAAGTTCATTTTTAATTGCTTATCCCCTGCAGCCTTTTAGTCCCTTTTCACATCATTGCATTTCAAAAATACATACCATTAAAACAAAAAAAAGTCTTCACAGAAATATAAGCTGCAGAGAAAGATCAAGTCCTGCTGTCATTTTTTAAGCACCACTTTAAAACAAACTGTAAGTATTCAATATAATACCTTTTAGTAGCAGATTTATACCCCAGCTCTGAACTTTACGCTAAAACACTAAAATAACTGGCACAGGAAGAGAAGATACTGTGCTCACGTCTACAGAACAGGGAGTGTTTAGATTTCTGTCCTTTCTTCCCAAACTCACCAGCTTTCTTTGCACATCTGTCTACTGTAAGCAAAAACAAATGCTACTTGATTCTGACAGGTGGTCCTGTTTCTCTGAATAAGCTTATTGAAATGTGTTAAATGCCTCAGAAACTATTAACAAAATACAAGCAATTAAGAGATCTCCCTCCCTTTCTCCACAATGGATCATAAGCCTATGAGCAGTACTGTACTGGAAAACTGCCAGTTAGGAGCCTAGAACAAACAGTCCTTCATGCCTCCAACAAGATTTTCTTCTTGTTGTCATGTCAGAATCAGTGGCTGTTCATTATTTTCCACCTCTTTTTCTGAAAAAAACACTCTTAAATATATATCTCCCATCTTCATTTCAAAAGAAAATAAAATCATGTACTTAGGATCAAAAATGCAATCCAGCTTCTTTAGAGGTAATGGCTAAGAGAAGTTCCCAATGATAGACTAAGCATCCTTCCTTCATTGAAGATCTGCTAGCTTGCAGCAGTCTACCGGCTACAAGATATAGAGACCCTCCTACTTATTTTTAAGGAAACAAACCACCTTTTCTAATATTTAAAAAAAAAGATTTTATCAGAAATGACAGTTAAGTAGAAAAAATACTTCCTGCATCAGAGTTGGCTAGCTGTTTATTAAAAATATTAACACATATTAACACTAGAGATCACGTACACATTAGTTTTACCTTAACAGATAAGAGCACCTTTCCAAACATAGAATCACAAGGTTGGGAAGGACCTACAAGATCATCTAGTCCAACCATCCTCCCATTACCACTGCTATCACAAGCAATATAACATAACGTTACCCTCACAGCTGTCCTACTCGAGAAGAGTCACATAGGATACGTTTCAATGCTACAAGACTTGAATATTTCTGTACAGCCATAATCCAAATACATTGTTCAATGTTACTTGTTTACCTATTTTAGAAGGAAATAGCGTTTCATCATCCAGCTGATCCTGGACCCAAGTCATCAGGTAATCAATGTACTTTGGCGCAGAGCACTTAATTGGTTTCTTTATGTTTGTCCCATCTGCCCAATGGTACTCGTACCTGGGTTGGGACAGCAACAAGAAGACATTTCTTAATACAGGTGAATCATTCCTAACACAGCCTGGGAAGACGCTCTTCCTGCACCACTCCCCATACCAACACCCTCCCACAGCCCTTCCTTGAAGCTAAGGTCCAAAAGCTGCCAATGTAATCTGCAGCTGCTCCAGACCCAACCTGCAATCCTTCTTCAGCAAGCCACCATAGCCTGTGAAGGCTTCCAAAAACTTCCTTTTTCACAGGCACAACACATTCATCCCACACTCCTGCCAAAAACATGTCAACCTATGGTTAAAGCATCTCTGTACATCAAAAAGCTGGTGTAAGAAGTAAACCTCTAAATTGCACACAGGGCACTTCTGCTTGAAAAGGCAACAACTACTTTTCCTTTCTTTAAAGCAGCTTGGGTTGCTTTTGTTTGTTTGTTTTTAAAGGAGAAAAAAAAAAAGAACTGTAACTTGTTGAAATGAAATATCAGAAAACTGCATTAAATTCTCCACTTGAAATTGGGCTTACAGGTTTTGCCTGACAACCAAACTACGTTGGTTCTTGCCAGTGTTCCTAAATTATGATTGCATTAAGAGACTAGGAAGAGATTCAGATGTAAATTAATGCAAAGTAACACTATTTAAGAACTCAAAGCAAGTATAAGGTGCACTTTAGTAAACAGTCTCGAGGAAGCTTCTAGATTAAGTAGTTGTCCTTAGGCAGCACCTAATAGCTTAGCAATACCATGCAGCACACAAACTAGATTCCAAAAGTCTTGGTATCCAGATATACCACCGATTCACTGGGTAGTTTCAGGATGTGTTTTAGCTTAGTTTTTCCTATCTGTAAATAAGGTGGCATCACGCCTTTACAAAACACTGGCATCATCATGGAGCAATAAAAGGTGTACTCTTCTTATTTTTCCTCTACTTGTAAGGCTAATAATGCTGACACATAGCTTATTCAATGAGTAGATTCCAGCTTCATTCATTTTACAGGTACCATTTGAACCCGTGGCATTATAAAAGCCATGGAAAACTATTAAATAGGAGGAATATGCATGCACAAACAGATATAAACAAGTCCTCATAAAATTAGAACGGAAAAGATTTTTTGAGTGACTAGGGGAGTGTAATCCACACAAGTCCAGACATAGGAGAAGACAGCTTATCTTGGGAAAACATAGCTGGAAAAAGGAAAAACCAACTATATTTGATGCTCATAGTCTGACAATATCAGCTTTCAAGTGAACCACAGCGTTCCTTCCTATTTCTTGCCAAGTACCAATGTGCAGGTCTTAATATCCCCTGCCAAACTGTAACTTCTGAGCAGGTTTGATTGTGGCTTTTTTTAATCCACATCTGCTTTAGGCCAGGCAGCCCTGCTCAGTCAGCCAGCCAGCAAGCCCAGCCTAAAACAAAAGGGACTGCTGAGCTCTGTAGCTCTGAAATCCTCCCAAAGGAATAAATGCCCAGTGGGTCAGGATGGCTGCACCTCCCATTTTTTTACTAATAAAAAGTCAATGACAAGGGCGGTACCGTCAGGTCACTCATGCTTTTACAGCAAACACATACACCAGATAGAAGATCTGTCCCAGCTCTTTTTAAAAGATTTCAAAGAGATGCTATTTCTGGTCAGTACTTTACATGGAGGATAACATGCTCAACTGTTATATTTCAGTACAGCTGCGCCCTACCACAGTGTTTGGGCTGCAAACACTGCTATCTGAGCTCTACCTGACTATGTGCTCTTAGTATCAGGGAATGGGGGTATGGGAAAGATCTTCTATTTTGAAGACTATTCACATCATTTTATGCAGGACTTAACCATATCTAATTGATTTGTCTTGAAATTTTAACAAATCTGGTTTTGTGAGAACAGTAACTGAAGAAACATTTTCACTATACACAAATTTCACAATTGTGAGTGTGCTGCTAACAATTGTATTAACAGGTCTTATTTTTCTAATGGTAAGAAATCAGAAAGTCTGAAGGCATTTTTAAATCATGTCTCAAAATACATGAGAAAATTCCATACACACTGAACAGACACAACACTTCTAGCATGAAAAAAAAATAAGTTAAAAAGAATAAGAAAAAAAAAAAAAAAATCAGTATTCCTCACCACCTAGCATTAACTCAGTACAAAGATTTAAGTGTTAATAACCCAGGACAAATACCAACGCTTAGCTAAAGTACCAGATTCGTACAGAGAAAGTAGAATAACAAGAGAAAACCTAAGCTAAATGCTAGCTCTCATCCAAATATTCCAGATCCCTTAGAAGCCTGCTCTCCTTGCATTTTTCAGAGGGAGAAGTGCCACAGAATTACCTTTAAAGTAATACAGCTCTTAAGAAACACCAAAGACATACCCTGACAAAAGTGAATACAAGCTCCCTGCACACAGCGGGCGTGTAACCTTCACCAAGTCAAAAAGCACGGAGCGTCAAGAAAAGGCAAAAGGAGTAACACTGCTGGGAGATGTGGGGTATTTCACTGACTTGATTCATTGGTTATTCCTTTACTTATTGGTAAGGATGCACTGGGCAGAAGACAGCACATCAACATTTGAAGATGGTACATTGTAACTATGCGGGATTTAACAGAAGCTGTCCAGAGCATTATTTGAAATCCAAGCTTAGAAGCACTGGGAACCTACAAACCTCATGACAATCAACAGGCTCTCACCACCACTAAGAGTGAGCTTAACTATCTCAATCAAATGCCTAAACATGGATTTCATAGCTTCTGTCCAGTAATCCTGCTTTGAAAAATGCACCAACCGTGTCCTTCCCCCTTGCTTCTACAATTTACTATGGAGGGAAATAAATACCCTTGCACCACAGTGCTCAGTACACACATTACTTTTATGCAAGTTCTTAGCATATTTATCACGCTTATTGCATTGATGGCGATATAAGGATAGTAAGAAATGATAATCAACTTCAGTTCACTCGGGTAGAAAGTGTTTGGTCTTGCAAATGTGAAAAGAGTGGAACATTATCATGAGAAACCATGCATTTTGGAACAAATCAAACAATTTTCTCAAACAATTAGACAATGACTTGTGCAGCAGGCACAAGAGATCTCTTTTTGATCTTTATGTCAATCCTTTATTAACTCTGTTAAACATTAATTCAGCAATCTTTCCAACAAAGAGAAGTCCTAAAGAAATTTAAAGGACCCCATGGCAGATAATGCCTCATGTCAGCATTTCCACTGGGAATATGTAGCCCTGAGTCTGTAAAATACCAATGTACTCCAAACTCAAAGTAATTAAACAGAAAGGTTTGTGTGTGGATGCAATTATACCAGCTTGTAAGTGACATACAGGACTTAACTTGCAGAGAAAACAAATAAATAAATAACAGGAAATTTAAGACTGTAAAGTCAGAGCGCTTGGTGCTTTTAGTTCTCCCCACACTACTGCTGCCTAACCTGTTTCAAGCGACTTTACGGAATTTGTTCAGCTAACCCATGCTCTTCCATCTGAAATAGACTAGTGCACAGTAATGGTGGCAGCTCAGCTGTGGCTGTAAGCAGTCAGCAATCTTCAGCCTAGCAGCATTAAGGAGCTCATAAAACTCAATGTCTTGAGCCAGAAGATAATATGAAATAAAGAAACAGGAAAAAACAAACAAACAAACAAACTGTAAATATCAGTGCTGTTATGGTAACGTGATTTCTACTACTGCCTCCATAACCAAAATTCTGCAGATCACCTTTAACCTAAAGAGTGGCCATGCTCATTCAAACCAAAAGCATAGTGCTCACTCCACTGCCAAACACTGCAGCCTCATCCATCTCTGTTCCGGTGACTGCCTGGCTTCAGTCCCCTCCACCACATGAACACTTTGGACACTCTTTTGCAAAATCCGTTCCTGCGCACAAGTAGGGCTGCAGACTTTGGGGAATGCTTTAAAAATCCTACAGATAAGTCCCATCTGATTAAAAACTTGGCAGAATGTATTTCCTAGCCTCTAGCATCTCTTTTCTAGCTTGCTTCATACCTGCTAGAGCACTACATAAGTTTCTGTCAATGGCTGTCAGTCTCTTTGGAGAAATAAATTGTTTAGACTGGCAGTCAGAAAGCTAAGCACTAATTAACCTCCATCCCCATGTAACTGCTTCTCATCAGTCAAACAATAAAGCAAACAAATATTTTCATGTTCTCATTTAATAACCAAGAGCCTGTTCTGCATGCTGAAGCATAAAACAGACAATGGGCTATGTCATTGCACAAGCTCATTCCAAAGTTCATTTGTATAATAGTAAACTTCTTTCTTTTGCATTTTCACCCCCTTCCCTATTTTGCAGCAGCACATCTGCCTGCCCACACTGCTTCTGGCGTTCTGCAGCAGCCATCATTAGTTTAAGAACACAGCACCAAACGTTTCCTTGGTCTGGCTGTTTTCACCTTGCAGAGTTCATACCCTCCCATTCTCAGCAGCTCTCCCCCCAGCAGCTCTCTTTTCCTTGTCCTCAGCTCCCCACCTTGCTGCCTTCAGACAGTAACAACATACATCCTTAGAAAGCAGGAAAAGGTGGAGAACTGTTTTTCTTTGTTGCTTATTTAAGATTTTAATGTAAAAAGGAAGCATTGCTTTCCCATCTCTACTTGCTTACAAATTCAGGTTTTCTCTCCGAAAAACACTAGGAAGCTGAAGAGCAAAGAAAAACACAATGCTGGATGCCTGCACGAAGGCGAAAGCATAGGCAACAATCAAGGAAGTGAAACTTCACTGAGTGAAAGGGCAGGGAATTCTTACTCAGACTACTCAAACCTGATGCCAAGTTTCTTTCAACAGTAGCTAGTCAAACACCTCAAAGAAAGATTTTGCTTATTCCTAGTTGAATGCTTGCAGATGAAAGCATCCAGTCTTAAATTAAGAAGGACTCGTTAACATTTCAGAACAAAAAGAGAAAGCAGTTCTGATGGTCAGGCTATTTCCCAGGCTAAATAAAACAATTACTATAAAAAACTTTCAATTCCCTAGTCTCTTACAAAGGGTCAAGCTTTTTCTCTCCACACATAACAAAAGACGACATCCTTTCTACTCACAAAGGTTATCGTTTCTCTGGCACTCAGCTGAGCCAGACTCTTTCGAATGCAAAATCATCTCAAGAATTGCACACTGAACAATGAGTAAAAGTGATCTTACTTCGGGCCAGCAGACATCACGGGACAACTCTCCTCTGTGCAGAAGTCCGTAATGGTTCCATAGAGCATATTGATCTGGTTGAAGAAGTCAACAGCTGCAAAATATGTAAATCATTCATTATTACTCTGCAGTTTAATTGCAAAACAAACTTCCTACAGCCTGAACTGTAAAACATACGCTGCCGAAAAGGGTCCTGGATTATTTGTCATGATAAAACCTCATTAATACTTCTTTGTATTAGAAAGAGATCCAGAACAGTTCTTTGTTGCAAGAATTCTTTAACTGTTCACTATAGCAAAATCTTCATTTGAAAAAAAAAAAAAGAAAAGGAAAGGAAAGGGGTAAAAGAAAGCTGTCATTTACTCTTCTAAATGTTTGGTGTACTTTAGTAGAACCCCAAATTCTCCTTGCAGGTCTGTTAACAACAACAACAAAGTACAAGCTTCTGAAGTACAGCAACTGTTATCTAGCTGCTGACCGTGACGTCCTTCAGGCTTTCTATCCCAAAAGACTGCCTTTCCAATGAATATTTATGTTATGTTCAAACCAAAAATGGGTGGTGAGGTGTGGGGGTATGCAAGGCATATGGCCACAACATCACACGACTTCTATTACTTTGATTAGTTAATTAACACAAATTAATATGCAGTTCACAAAGTTTTCTCATTTGCAAACCATCCTTGGATATTTCTGTTGAAGAGTTGCTCTCTAAGTTTCATTTTAACAGTGTACTGCTGAATTATTGTAATAAAAGGCCAGAAGTGAACATATCTAACAATTCCCATTGTTCTCACTACTGTAAATAGATGTTCAAGAACTTAGAGCTCTTTGAAAGCAAGGCTCTTCTTCAGTGGTCTTACAGCAGATAAAGTTTTTAGGAATCATGTGATCAGTTTCTAAAAGCCCACTTCAACTCCCTTCAGAGAATGGCCCCCCTGTGCACTGGTTAGAGAGTACAGCATGTTACAATAATTAACAATGGATGCCATGGGTTAAAATTGCAGAGGGACCAACATCGAGCTCTAGAAAATTAAAGCTGAATTCTTACCACTAAGACTAAGGTTCCAATGTATCAGTTTTATTAAATACTCCACCTGCTTCGTTCTGCAGCCACTCCTGTTAACTTCTGGATGAGCCCAAGTAATGCAAGCATACAGGAACCTAAAACTTGTGTGAGCAGCTTTGGTGCCCTTACTCATCTATCTCGTGTTTTCATCATGTGCAGGGATGAAATTCAGCAATAACATGAAAACAAAAAATAAGCGCTGTAGAGCTCAACTCCTATTTAACTACAGTGCTTTGCAAATTTAACCATTCCACTGACATGCTCTCACCCTGAAAGAAATCACAGATGAAGTATAAATGGTCTGAACGCCCCAGTGCTCAGTCTGCACTATACTGCTCCTGCTGCTTTGAGCACCAGGCCTTCCACTTGTACAAAAGGAGCCTTTCCAGGTACAATTTTGCGATCATATCTGCAAGGCGGATCCTCACAATGGGAAACTGGTACATAGACTGAGCTGAGTTTGACTTCAGACTTAAGTTTACATCAGTGCTACCTATGTGATACCTTGCCAATACAGGGTGCCAGTGGCAAACTGCTTCTTTATTGAGATAAATGTCAGGAATACTCGAATAAAACCCTGAATATTAAATAGGCACACATTATCCCAACTAACAGATAAACAAATCTCTTCATTCTGATCAAACAGGAATGGTTTTCCTGAAACCAGTCTCAGCAGTAGGTAAATGGACACGTTTGTCTTAACTTAAAAACCAACACTTTTAAAGTCACTACTTCCAGAAGAGAGCAGTGAATACTCATAGAAGCAATGTGCAGGACCTGTGGAACGGGCATACAGTCCTCTCAGTCTGGTGCTATGCCAAAGAGGAGCCAGAACCCTACTTTGCTGTCAACCCAAATTCACATTCTTTGCTTATATCTACAGAAAATTACAGTTATGCTGTAATGAGATGTAGGTTGACATCTTCTCTGTAAACACCAGTAGATTCTGTATATCATTAAAGTACGTGATGGCTAAAGGAATGAGAGGGCTAAATATGGTATGTATCATCACTGATTATTCAGGCACGTAAACATCTAAGATTACATGCACATCATGGCAGCGAATTCCAGCTGCTGTTCAGCAGATGCAGGACATAAAGCTAAAACTGCGCCGCACTACTTCCCAGGTACCAAAAGAGGGAAGTATATAAAAACTTCTATGGCAGGCACCTGCTGCAGTTCATTTCCAGCAACAAAACGTGTCTTTCTCTTGCAAAGCAACAGCAAAAAACATGATATGACAACATTGAGAATGGTTGATAAAGTTACAGATGACAAGGAGGGCCTCTAAAGCCTCTCTGGGCGTGCAATGGGAACACAAAGCCCACAGCACTGTGTGACATTCAACACTGCGGAGGCAGCAAGAAGCAGTTAAATGCAGCCATTGTTTTTTTTTATGTGTACACAAGAACTGTTAATTAAATTTCCAATCGCTGCTCCCAGTAGAAACCACAGACCAGCATTTGCTCTGGGGCAAGCGTGTTCAAAAAACCCACATGGGCTTTGACAAGATGACTGATTATTGCAAATCCCACATTTGCGAGTCTCAAAGTGCCTTGAGACACATCACCCATCCACCACAGTCAGCAGTGTCTGACAAACAAGGAAAAGGCAAGATCCTCTTTCCCAACATCTGTAAAGCAGTACAGTGTCTCTTCACATTTTCGTTTCCTCTTTTTACTCACCATTCTTAAGTTTTGAGGGTTTAGGTTACCTTTTCAACATTCTTTTCTACTTTAAGTGCACAACGTCTGGTGTACATTTTAATCTGCTGCAAGCATAGATGTGAACTGTACTTCTGAAGTGCTTTTTTAATAGTTTCTAATCATGAAGCCAAATGAAAATCAACTGATCTCACACTTCTCATTTTTCTTTTAAATACACTAGCACACTTTTAAAATCTCCATATAAGTCAATTCATTCCCATAAAGCATCTCTAAGGTTAGGAGTTAAGCAAGTAGCAGTGGAGCACATTCCTCCTGCGCTCCTACTGTGTGAAGTCATACACTTCCTAACCTCGGAAAGTATCTCCATCAATGGAAGAGGCTCACAGCTACCATTATCTGGTACTGGGTGTGGTAGACGTAAGTCAGAGAGCATCTAAGGTGCCACTCACTTTTAAAAAATAAAGAATAAAAGGTTGCACCCCCACTGTATTACAAGAAGGCATGAAAGAGGACCACTTCATTACAAAATGCAGCTCTTAGCAAAAGGTAGCTCCCACTCTTCTCAAATGTTTCACTGCCTTTTGCCAGGCAGCTAATTTAGTAGCTAAATCATTTGGGAGATGAAAATCACTGCCACACAACAAAGAGCAGCCACGGAATGAAGGAACCCCCAAAAGGGAAGGATGCAAGTAACATCTCAGGCATCATTAGTAATGCTTACTCATAGAAACAGGCTGGCTCTTTTTCTAGGCAGTTTTGCAGTGCAGTGTGAACAAATTTGTATAAAGAATGGTGTTGGCAGCTTCAACGTTCCCTGGAAGGAGTGACAGGTTATATCCCACAGTTAAAAAACTCAAAGGTAGAGGTCAGTATCACAGGTCACTTCCCAAACATGTCAAAGAACAGAAAGAAACAGACAGAAATAAAATAAGTAATTAGAAGACATTTAGTTTGTATGTAATTTATACTGCAGTGCACAATTAACACTGTACTTGCAGGCCATACCACAGACACAAAAGACAAGGAAATACAAGGAAATACCCAGATAAGGCACAGTCTGTGGCAACCAAAACCCACACAAGCTACAGAGCACAATGCAATTTCAATTAATCCATTCTTCAAGGGTAAAAGGAAGGCAGCAAAATCATGCTGCAGGGAGAAGGAGAAGGAAACAGTCAGGCAATCAGAATACACCAATTTGGGCCCCACTGTTTGACCTGCTCTAGCATAAAAAAAGAGAGCTAGGAAAAGCAGCTTTAGAAGAGTTAAAAATCAAGAGATTTACCAAAGCAAAGGCTCACAATGTGGTAGAAACAAAAGGAAGGGACTAATTTGAGGAATATTGCAAAGATCTGTCTCTAGGTTTGCATCAGGCAGAAGGAAAGACAGGCCACACAGGTCACTGTAGTCTCAACATTTTAGACATGGCCCTCATAGTTACCTAAATTAAGGTTTTATACCTAGCATGTATATGCTTGTCCAAACTATCACGTAATGACTTTGATTGAAGAGCTTAAGCATACTAAGACAGCACAGACAAGCTCTTTTTTAAAAACAGCAGTGGCATTTCTACCCTAACACTTCTTTGTGATCAAGTGCTCACAATTTAACCACTAAGATTTACTTATTTATTTTAAAGACAAGATCATAGTTTTGGAACAAGAAGCTTAAAGAATATTGTCTCTGTGTGCCACTCGGCATCTATTAGGTTTAAAGGACAGGACATTCTCCTCTCCCCATTGCAACACGTTTGCAATGCTCTGCACTATCACTAGAAAGAAGTACACAGCTGTCTTCCTACAAGTATCAGCTTTCATTCAGCACCCTCCTCATGTAAAACAGCGTGTGTATGTGTGCTTTAGCCAACTTACTGTTAACTGCAACCCATTCATTTAAGTCTTCACCCTCTGGAAGCATAACAGCCATCCTGAGGTTACCACTTCCAAGCGTGGCCTCGGCATGTTTAAGCAGCTCATACTGGTGAGATCCCTCTGGAATGTTCTTCTTTGGTTTGAAGGTTTTGGAAGAGCGACTGCCACTGTGAAAGGGAGAGGAAACATTTAGACAACTTGCAAAAAGGGAAGGGGAAAAAGCAAGCAGAGGACAAGTTGCTCACAAGCACAGTATCAGCATTAAAACACTTTTCCCAACACCTATGCTTTCACATCAGAATGTAAATTTAACAAAAACTGGGATGCCAACACAACAGGTGCTTTGACTCGCTTTGTTTAAGCCAATTAAATGATGCTCTGCTCTCTTGCCTTCTCATCTGTTCACCTTAACATTAAGCCAGCTGGACATTTGGGAACATTCAGCTTCCCTTGCCCTTTTCTCAGTACACTGGATCATAGGCATGATGAGACCAGAAATATTTCCTTCTCCAGACTTTGCACAGCCACATATGAAGACTACAGCAGCCCAACCAAGAAGAATCCTCCTCCATTCCAAATAGTCATGACACTTGTTACGGTAACAAAAGTTATCAAATAAGAGAAAAAAAACCCAATACGTACATTCTAAAGCATCCATTTTCAAGAGATGCAAAATAGCATCCAACCTGCAAAAGCACACTAAAATGGCAGAGCCAGCCTGTTCAGATCGCTGCCTTTTTACATCAAGTATGGTGTGTTAAGTAGGTACTACAAATTTCTTGAAAATAAGCTGCTGTTATCTAGCAACGCATACTTTCCGCAGGCCTGGCTGATTCAGAACAGTATCTTAGCTACCTCAGTTCACCAGCAGTGCATTAGATCCAAACATAAATGTCAAAAGGGGGATGGGACAGCTAAAAATGGCAACATGAAATACATTTTACAACTATCTGGTTTTGCTTAGGAACTTAGCTTTTAAGGAACAGCTGCTCAAAAACACGCTCTTTATCTGAAGGATACACACTTCACACAAACTTTCTACTCCACTTTCCTCTGGTTTGACAGCACACATCACAGCACAATCCACCAGTCTGACAAGAAACACGGATGGCGACTTCTACAACTTTCACAAAGGTCATTTTATCAGCCTTAGCTTTGTTTGAACAATAGGGGCTGACGTGGAATAAAAAGTTGATACTTGAATTTTAAATGATGGCAGTGAGCCTGGATAGCACGTTGTTCCCTCACACGTCAGAAACATAACATGCAAAAGTAAATATCTGAAAATAAATGTAAAATGAGCTACGTTTGTGAATGTTTCAGCATACAAACTGAGAAAAAAATGTTAGGAAAGGAAAACTGAGCTCTCAATTCCAATGAAGGCTGCAGAAAGAAATGAAATTCAGGTAGCTAAATTTTCATTACAAACATTGCCCAGCTCTCAACTCCTCATACAAGTCTGCTCGTTTTTCACCAGTCTTCCACACAGCTGAACACAGATGAACAGGGGTAAGGCTGCTCTCAGGTGCACTGGATGTCTGAATACAAAGGGCTGTAGCTCATCTTTGAGGCAACTCTAGTACAGCTACCTGCTCATACATAAACACTCCAAGAAACTTGTTTCATAGAATCACAGAACAACCCCAGCTGGAAAAACCCCCAAGGACCATCGGGTCCATCTCCTGGCTCCACACAAGACCATCCAAAAACCAAACCCTATGTCTACAGCATTGCTTAAAAGCTTGGGGCCGTGACCACAGCCCTAAGGAGCCTGTTCCACACCCATCGCCCTCTGGTGAAGAACCTTTTCCTAACATCCAAACTATTTTGTGTTTCATTTTCCCCACTACACAACACTACAGCCATCAGCAGGAAATAACAAAGATGACTTGTGTTTCTGCTGGAGCTGTTGGCATGTACAATTGTAAAAACAATGCACACAACAAAAATTTTTCTTTCCAAAACACAACAGGCGATCAAGAAAAATCAAACATCAAGCACATGACAAAAATGTCTTCAGTTTGGTTAAATCTAAACTTAGCCCTGAACAAGGGCAGTGGAAGAAGAAAACATAATAAAATAGGACATAAACGTGTTTCCCAGTTGTTGGCAAGGGCAGGGTAAATACCATCTTTGCAGGAATGGAACAGACGAGTCTGGCCGGTTAGAGATTTACACAGCCTCAGACTTCAACTCTCCCTTGCCACAGCACAGCAGCACCCTCCAACCTGTAGGCCTCCAGAGTAATCCTGTTCCCTAAGTCTCATAAAGAAACACTTTGCTGGACTAAAAGGGACCACGGGATGGTAGAGCTGAATGGGCCGTGTTTGTTTTTAAGTTGAGACTGAATAAGGCCCTGGACAGCCTGCTCTAGCTGTGGTGTCCCTGCTCACTGCAGGGGAGTTGGACTAGATGGCCTTCGGAGGTCCCCTCCAACTCTAAGGATTCTATGACTCTACAGTTCATACAGATGCTACATCAATACTGAAGGACCTGGAAGGCAGTCAGCTACAAAATACACTTAAAAGCCAGTAGTAGGAAGAGGAAATGTACGGCTCCCATACATTCTGCTATAGGACACTTCTAACACGTGACCAGTCGTTTGCATTACACTCCAAGCAAGGATACCAGATTCAAATCTTAAATAAAATAATTGCCTCCCTGTGGGAGGGAGGAGCTACTGTGGCTCAGGGAGTTGCCTTCCCCTTCCACTCCCCCAGTCACATGCATTTGCTGCTAGGTCAGGCTCAAACTCAATCAGAAGAGAACGCACTTGTTAAAAACAAATAAAAATTAAAAAAAAAAAAAAAAAAATCAGGACACTTAACTGTCTGCTTAGAGGTGCAGGTTTTTTTCTTCAGGAACACACAGCCACCAGGCCAACACTGGGAGCAACAACAAAATTTAATGCATCTGGCAAACATTTTGGTGTACATCTGCACAGACAGGGCCAATGCAAGGTAATATTCACAGCAACTGAGGGCCAAGAGAGACAAATATCATTACCTCCCCACTTGTGTCAGTGTAAGCAGAAGAAAACCAGCACAAGATAAGGGCATGCTTAGCACTTCCAGACCTGCTCAGAAGATTCTGCTCCGTGTTGTAATATGACAATGAAGGAATCCAAGTCCTGATGGAACACCACTCTACAGCTCAGGTCATTCATTCATCATCAAACAGAAAGGAAAATAAGATTCGCTTTCCTATCAGTTTACATAGCTTCTCTAATTCCTAAAGCTTAAATCTAAAACCTAAGGTACGAAAGTATCTCTTCCATAATACTGTCCTCTTCACATGGGTATGATGACTGAAGAACTTAACTGCTGTAACTGGTCTGGTGTCATTGCCTAAGGCAACATCTGCAGCCTCATAACAGAGGCTACTACTAGGAAGATGGAGCACTCCAAGTGCAATGAGAAAAGCTCAGTCCAGACAGTGGGAGGACTTAACGAAAGGATTCAGATTACAAAGAGCAGCATCAAGCTTCAGCAGAAAATCTCTGTTCAGGGAGAGGAGGTGCTACAAAACACACCAAGCAGTAGCCAGTAAAAAGTTACTTCGTAACTCACCTAAGTGTTAGTGAATGTTAACAGAGGTTAGACAGGAAAAGTGAGCTTTAGAGAACCAAGCACAAGGCAAGTACAGGGAGGGAACTCCCTAAATAGCACAGCTTATTTTGAGAAAACTCTGGGTAAGCATTCACACCCCAGATTGTGAGATGGTAAGATAGCAAACGAAGTCATCACAGGCCAATGGAACACCCAGCAGAGACCTCCTATGGTCAAAGAAGCAGAGAATGCACAGCACATAGGAAAATCAAGAAGTACCAATCCCTGCTATCCCATTTCCACACACAGGTTTGCTTGTTCTTTTCCATTAGCAAAACCTCTAACAGGATATGCAACGCTTGATGTCAATTCTTCCAAATGAGCCATCTCCTATTTACATATCTCTCTGTGCCTCCATTACCTATCTGATCCCTGCTTCTCTAATCCAGCACAGCCATCCTAAGACAGCAGGAAATGGCCTCACGCGAAAGGCCGGCAGACAGCATCCCAAAGGAAAAGCAATTAAGATAAATGCAGGCTGCTAGTAATCCCATGCTATGGAAATATCTACAATTTTGGCAATGCATTATCAAAATTCCATGCATTTGTGCAGTTCACATGTGAAGTCAGTTTAACTGCACACATGGTCACACTCTCCTTAATACAAAGTTCAGGGATGCAACAGATTCTCTAAGCCAAACCTCTTATCAGCTAAGTTCGCTCTTCAGCAGTCTAGTTCTAAATGCTGCTGCAAACATGGGATCAGCTACATTATTAGCTCAGTAGCTCTCCTGCTCTTTAACCAAAGCCATCCCCACTGATTTCTGTCTCAGCACTAACAGCCAAACAACCCTCTGAATGGCAACACTGCTTTCTCTCTAAATCCTGAGCACAGCAACATTTTATTCCTGCATGGTGATTCCCAATGCTGAGATGAAAGCTTCTTGGGAAAAAAAAAAAATTGTTTTGTTTTTTTTTATTTCTTCCTTTTATGTCACTCCATTACATATGGCAGAATTATAGAATCTTCTTGTTCCATATCTATTTTCCCATCTTCTTGGGTGTAAAGTGGAAAGCTTAACTTCCACAGTTCAGTTTGGTGACCAGTGACATACACAGTAAAGCAAGGTTCTATCAAGTAGGACATACAAATTGTAAAAGAATTAGCTGCATCTCTGAAGCATTTCTTCTGATAACATACAACGCAAAGGCCACACCTGCCTTTCCCTGCTGAGAGCCTCTGAACTCTCCTTCAGCTGCAAAGCAACACATTAACACAGATGAAAAATGAGACAGAAAACTCGCAAAAGTCACACTGAAGATCCCATTTTCTTTGGACAGAAAAAGCTCATGAAAAGGAGAGAACGTTGCATTAGACCCACTATATCTCACAAGCAATTCCCAGACTTGCAGAAAGTAATGGCTTCTCAAAAATTCTTCCAATTCCAAGGACGTTTTGCTCTCTTTACTCCCACATCCAGCATTTCCAGCAAATTATGCCCTTCTATTTTTAAAGGTAAGTGCAGCTACAGCAGTGCCAGATGCAGCTCATCCTAGCACTAAATCATGGAATGTGCTCACAACAATTACTCACAGTGCCAGGACGACTCTGGAAGCCT